AATAATCGTGATTAATCAAAACAAATTGTGTTATTTGAACCAATAAAGATTATGTGACAAAATGAAAATAAAAAAATATAAAATTAAAATAAAATCTTAAAAATGTCTTTTTTCTTTGTTTCAAAAAATGTGTCCAATCGATATTCCTCTGAGCATATGTTATAGATAAACAGGCAGCAGATGCAAGGGATCCCCTCAAGGGTATACTCTCACCAGATTCAGAAGGTATACAAATCGTGTATAGCGCCTAAATGCCGGTAGCTGTTCACTATCCGATCATCTGGTTCGTCTTCTCCGAGATGTATGGGAAACCTGTGTCCGTCTCCTGTTTCAGTTTGAAAGGTATGCCGGTGGGGTGTGATGTTGAGATAACGGCAGCTGTTCACCATCCAGACCGCTGATTTATTATGACTTCCATAAATAGAATAAAATTTAAACGAGCAAAAAAACACAAGCCGGCCGGTCAGTCAGACCACGAAAGGCTGAAGGTATAACGTAAATGCAGGGGGCTGACTGACCGGCCTGCTTGTGTTTTTTTGCTCGTTTAAATTTTATTCTATTTATGGACGTCTTAATAATCAGCGGTGTAGTGCTGTTTTAAATTATCGAAATAAAAGATTTTAATCTACTACACTATGGAGCTTCCCTTTTATCCCTTTTAAAACATGGAAAATCGGGAGTTGGTTATAGGCTGTCTATAGACCTTGATAAAGAGGAGCCAAAGGTCTGGATGGTGAACAGCTGCCGTTATCTCAGCATCACACCCCACCGGCATACCTTTCAAACTGAAACAGGAGACGGACACAGGTTTCCCATACATCTCGGAGAAGACGAACCAGATGATCGGATAGTGAACAGCTACCGGCATTTAGGCGCTATACACGATTTGTATACCTTCTGAATCTGGTGAGTGTATACCCTTGAGGGGATCCCTTGCATCTGCTGCCTGTTTATCTATAACATATGCTCAGAGGAATATCGATTGGACACATTTTTTGAAACAAAGAAAAATACATTTTTGAGATTTTATTTTAATTTAATATTTTTTATTTTCATTTTGTCACATAATCTTTATTGGTTCAAATAACACAATTTGTTTTGATTAATCACGATTATTTGTACTAGAGCTGCAGCTAACGATTATTTTCAAAATCGATTAGTTAGCCGATTATTAAGTTCGATTAATCGGTTAATCGGATAAATAATAAAATAAAATGGCTCCAGTGATGGACTACTAGCTTGTATTGAGATTGCACTCCATCACAGGAGCAAGCTTGGAGCGGTGGAAGTAAAAAAGAAAAAAAATGTGTGGTGTGCAATATAGTGAAAAGGAAAGTGTAAAATTATACAGCAATGAATGCAGAATGGCACCGACTATAGAGGACTACAAATCCCAGCAATAGTACATTATACAGAGCAATGCAGAATTTCACCAGCTATAGAGGACTACAATAAATCTCAGCAATAGTACATTATAGCTGGCGGTATTCTGCATTGCGCTGTATAATGTACTGTTGCTGGGTTTTGTAGTCCTATAGCTGGTGGTATTCCGCATTGCGCTGTATAATGTATTATTCCTTGATTTGTAGTCCTCTATACAGTGCAGTGCAGAATATCACCAGCTATATACCAGGGATACAACAAATCCCAGCAATACATTATACATACAGTGTATAATGTATTGCTGGGATTTGTATTCCTCTATAGCTGAT